CAAGAAAAATCAAGCAAACAAAACAAATTGCAATTTTTTCTTTCCACAAAAAGCTTTCAATAGTCGAACGATTCGCAAGACGGAATTAAAAAGCAAGAAAATCAACAATCAAACGGTCTGGTGAGCTTCCATTACACCTTCTCAGTCTGGAGTGAGAAATAATTTGAATATTAAATTGAAAACAATGAAGCTTTATCATTGGGCGTGATGAAAGGGCGATTTAAGAAGAAAGAAGTCAATTATAGGCGATGAAAAATTATTTCCAGTTCCAGACCTTCTGGGTGCAATTAAATTATAGAGTCATTACAATATTTATTAATCAATAGGTTTGTAAAGGTCAACGATTTGATTTGATATGAATTTTTATCAACCAAAGATATTTTCCTCAAGCAAGGAACTAGATGAGCCACCCTAGGCTATAAACTTATCACATTTTTCCTTTGTCAACTACATGAAATATTGCAAACATTAATATGATGATAAATCCACGTGGATAAAAGCGAATTCATATATTTCAGTGTCTAAAAAATCAATTTTCTTCTTCGCCATTCTGTGCCCTTTAGGGATACGCACACATTGGTACAACTCAAAGTCATTCACATAAATTTTCTTTTTTTTATATTATGTTTATTTTATTTTCACGTTCAGGCAACCTTGAAAGGAGAAATCTCGGCTCTCTTTTTGCTATGCAAGCCTCAGTGAAAGTGAAATTGATGTAACTTTTATTTATCATTGTCTGTAATGCATCACGAGCAGACAACCAATCAATAATTGATGGGTTGAATCAGCTGGAGAATTCTATCATAAATGTGATAATGAACTTGAAGCGTCAAAAACTCATTTTTGAAGTGGTAATGTAATTGGGGATTGCGAGTGTTGGTTTAGGTGTGACGTCTAGTGGAATTTAAGTATAAGTAAGCAAGTGTTTCAGTGCAGGAGTAAGGCTCCTATAGCCGAGTGGTTAGATAACGGACTGAAAACCTATAACCAACTTCTTTGAGGTCGTAGGTTTTATTCCCACTGAAATTTATCTTATAATTATTTCGTAGTGTGTTTGAGAATGCAGTTAATGATTGTAAGTCATATATGATAAGGTTCCATTGTGTCAACACCCTGTAGAACGCCTGCTCATTTACTGGTACGAATCAGGGGCGTAGCCAGGGGGGGGCCATAGGGGGCCCGGGCCCCCCTACGAAAATCTGATAATTGTTTTATTAAGTATTTATAGAGAAGAACCAGTTAATGTAGAGGAAGTGATGAAAGAAATGTCGAAATCAGCACGAAAAATTAAATTTAATGTATGAATAATGAATTAAATATTTAAACTTATGAAGAATGAATATAGATTTAAGGATACAAAATAACGGTTTTTTTAATTTTCGAAAATGGGCCCCCCCTTAAAAATTTTCTGGCTACGCCCCTGGGTACGATGAAATGTAAATGAAATTAAGTTAATGAATGGATTAAGTATCATATGTGTCTATTATTAATCAACATATTTTCCTAATTTAATGGGTGATTGTGGGCGGAGTATTCACAAACATTTGTGTGGGAAGTCTCTTATCTCGAATGAATTTTCAATTTACGTTTTAGGCAATGACCTTGTTGACAGAAAATATCCAATATTTTTCATCGTTAAACACCTCAAAGAGAAAATTCTACAAACCATTGAGAAAAATATCCCAAAAAAACAATAAGAAAAATGTGCGTTGGTTGAAGAAGTAAATCAATTATTGTTCCTTTATACTTATAACTTGTTGCTATGGAAGTTTTAATGATACAGAAAAATTCCTGTAGAAAATCGATGTGATTTTGTTTCTAGAAAAAAGTATTAAACAAAGAAAAAGAAAAAAAATTTCATCACGAGAGCACATGTCGTTGCCATAGAGGAGCTCACGTTTCAATAAATCTAATGGAAGGAGAAATGTTTATTTATTGAGATAAAGTTTGCTCACAAGCTTCTCATGTTGATTAAAGTGGAATGAGCTCCTTTCATCCTCACTTGAATAAATTTTATGAGACAAAAAAAAATATTGAGTTTTCTTTGCATTTACCGATGGAATTGGTGATTTAGACACTCTAAATTTATATACACAAGTTTGAAATAACCAATGCAGAGTTCGAATGGTTGGAAATTCCAAATTATTGGTTTTGAAAATAGTGCATGTTTGGATAATTTGAAGCTTTGAAAATTTGTAAGACTTGATATTTAATAAGCAATTATAATTTGAACTTTTAAGAGCCGGTAAAATTTGAATTTTTAAAGGCCGTTAAAACTTGAATTTATATAAATCGCTAAAATTTAAATATTAAGGATCTGTTAAAATTTAAATCTTAAGAATCTGTTAATTTAAATCTTGAAAGCCCGTTAAAATTCCATTTTTTTGAAAACCCTTTAAAAAAAGCATCATTAGACATCAATAAAAGAATTTACTAAGGATCACAAGTTACTTGGCTACAACATATAATTCCATTTAATTGAACCAATTAAAACCCGACTGTATTCTATTCAGATCAACAGAAGGAAGAAGAAAAGCGATAAGGAAAAAGTAAAATATCGTAGATTATCATCGTCATCACATAAAAAATTCAAAAGAGTTCAAATTCGAGTAACCTTGTGAAGGTCAAGAGCACGAAAGAAACACAAACTTTTTCCCGAGAAAACAAATTTTCTCAATGCCATCAAGACATAAACGACCCACTGATTAAGTTGACGAGTACGGAGAAAAAAATGTTTGAAGCAAGGAAAAGTAAAATTTATTCAACAAATTAATTATAGAAAAGAAGCACACAGAAAATGTTTCTATTCCCATCACACAACTTACAAATTATGTTGCGTGTTAGAATAAAAATAGTGTGGACTTCCAAACCGCCCTAATAAAAGTAAGCAGCTCATAAATGAATGGAAGAATTTTTCGGACTAAAACTAAAAATAACATTCCAACACCTTTCGTGTGACATTGTGGCTTTTAATTAATTTTCTAACCTCGAGAAGGGCTTTGGATGTTAAGGATGTATGAAGTACAATGTGACTTGTGGGGATGTGCATTGAACATGAAGCTTTTGTTTGTAGTTAAGCTATATGTATATTAAGTTGCCAGAGTTAAATGAAGACATCGATGGCTAAGTGGTTAAGCAACATACTGGAGACCTAGTCTTGTGTGAGGACGTGAGTTCAAATCTCAAAAATGACCAAACTTATCACTAAGCAAGAATTAAGTATCTCACAGCTATTCAAGATTCCATTCCTCCATTCTAAATGCTCATTGTCCCATCTAAACAACCCCCCTCCCCCTGTAGAGATATAGCATGGCAACAGTCAGTTCGTTGTGGTTAAAAATAATTTTTTCTATATTTTATTTTTGAGAATGCGATAACAACGGAACATAATAATTGTGTGAGCAAGGCAAAGAATCAGGTTTAAAAATATATGTATCGAATAACGAATGTCTTAAATTAGAAGCCATTTAGACATGAACAAAAAAAAAGTCAGAGTGAAACAAAAGAACGAAAATCAGGTGTATGTGCACGTGACTGGATTTTTTTTTGTTGAATTTAAACCATTGTCACTTATGTCACACTCGCATAGCTACTTGTACAAATATATAATATCTGACTGACTTGAACCTTTGTGGTAATATTGACATGAAGCATGTACTACATAAATAGTTTGTTGTGCTTACGTAAATGACGGAAATGAACCTTTTTTTCATGATTACAGAAATTTCATTTTTTCGGCATTGCTTTATCAGTGGAGGCAATAATGTTCAGAATTTATTAATATTTTGAGGATACACAACAGTGTATACGTAATTGACAGCACTTGATAGCCCAACTTCTGCTTTTTATTTCCTCATAAATTATTTGAAATTAGAAAATTATAAAAAAAAAGTTTTTTGTGCTGTGAGAATTTCTTTTTGGTGACTTTTTTTTTATATTTGACATATTAAATTATTGCCATGTGAATCGAATAAATTTGTAAGACATATTGTTAGAGTAAATGGTACAAATACATTAAGAATGACATCCTTCCAACTCATTTGAGATTGGTTTATTGGAAATGAATAAATTATTTGTTACAAGTAAATGAGGTGTAGATAATGAGGGAGTTTGATGTAGAATTATTTTGAATTTGTGGTTGATTTATTGGAATTTAGCTCATACGACTTTTTTGTTCAAAGTTCTTAATTTTTAAGCAATTTTGAAACTTTAAGAACATTTCACGAAAAATTGTGAAATTGAAAAAATTGTAAATTTAAAAAATTGTGAAACTTAAAAAATTGTGAAATTTAAAAAATTGTAAATTTAAAAAATTGTGAAATTTAAAAAATTGTAAATTTGAAAAATTGTAAATTTGAATAATTGTAAATTTGAAAAATTGTGAAAATTAAAAAATTGTAAATTTAAAAAATTGTGAAACTTTTAAACGTATGCAATTTAAAATATTACAGAATCTTAAAAAAATTCAAAACTTTACAGAAATATAAAATTTTCAAAAGTCAAAAAATTATAAAAATTGGAAATTTTTAAAAAATTAATAACCTAAGTGTTCAGTAATAACTACATATTGAACCCCATCCATATACTATTGCATTTAATAATTGAATAAACACTTGTTCCATATCTTCTAAATAACCGATAAATTTCTCATAATATTCACATTCTCCTTCGCTTTATAAAAATTCTCGATAAAATTAAATTCTCGATAAATTCAATCACGATTTTTTATTAACTTTTCCCATCCATGCCTCAGTCGCTCGATACGATTTATATATATTTTTTTACTTAATCAACAAACGTGATGTTCTTCGAGACCGGTCTAAAATTAATTTAATGTAGGAAAAGGAAATCAAATCGATATAAAAAGCTTAAGTGAAGCGCACATTTCGGCACTATCTATCGTATTGTACGGTGAATGCACTAAATTGAGGCCAAAAACACGAGCGATCGTGTCGAGCGAGTTGAAGCAGCAAAAAGAAAAAAAAAGAAAAATTTCTCACCTTTCAAATTTCACCGGATGCGGTGGCTGAGCGTGTCCATTAGCCTGTTCCCAGTAATTCTCCATATTTGCTGCTAGCGATTCACGAGCAATCACGTGAAATTTTAATGGCTTTTCCTGCTTCAGTTTAACGGCTTTACTGGTTGGACACTTGATGAATTTTGCCGACTCAATTGTGCCTTCCTGGATATAAATTTCTTGATGCTTGAAGAAACTTAAATTTTCTTTGATTTTTTTGAACAAAAAGTTGAATTTTTATTTTTGATGACTTTCAAATCCTGCACTTTTGGTATAGGGAACTTAGTATAATATTCCACACCGAACAAAAATGTGTGTATCGAGGCTTTCGATAGAATAATTTTACACAATATCGATTGTTAGTCAGTAAACTGCACATGTAATTTGCTTGTAATTCGGATTAACGCAAAAAATTTTCAACGTTTTATTTTTGGTTGAAAAATCGCACTTTTTTCAAATTCTATTTTAGCTCTGCTTTTATTTTTATCACTTAATAATGTCGTGTGTACCGGAATTGATTGAAAAACAATTTTTATTCATTTATTTTCAATTTTACTCAACAGACACTTGTTAATATTTTTTTATTTTTTTTATATCTGATTATTTTCACTCAGATTATGCCGCTCACTTTAACAGACTTTCGGTAAATGCACCTATTTTTTTTTTAATTCCACAAACTTAATTTTTTTTCTCTTTCTCCAAAAAAAAACTTCACCGATTTTTTTTAATTTTTTATATTTTTTTCCCTTCACAAAAATAAAAAAATTTTTTGAGGAAAAATTAAAAGAAACACAAAATATTTTATTTTCACAACTGATTTGCTTGACGAACTGCAAGAGACTCAAAGTCAAAAGAAACTTTTTTCCCGAAGTTCCATTCATTATATAAATCAGAAATACACATGCAAAGCTCACGTTTTAAGGCTGTGTGTGTAGCAACGAGAGAGAGAATTTTTATACTTTTTCATTGTATTTGTATGTCGGCGCTCCGATGATGATATTGTGCCGCAAGTGTCTATTGATATCATTATTATTATTTTTCAACTGTGTCGGCTAATGACGCGTAGAATTATAAACATTCATGAATGTGCGATATTGAAATCAATTTTTTTTAATATATATATTTTCTTAACTTTCTATACATATAGAAAAAAAATATGGTCGAATGTATGTAGGTACATGAGGATGTTATGAATGTGTAAAATTGTAATTGATACACAATTGTGTAAAATTTTGTGTGACTTGTCGGTGTCTTATTGTGATATTAAAAGGATTATATGCAGTCACATTGATGAAATTCTGACTGGATGACTTTTCATAATCGAATAACGTGAAGCTTGTGTAAGGATAAGTGGAATTTATAAACATGTCATGTAAGGTTACAAACTTACTTTGCTGGTCATATAGATTAATAGCCTCATTGATACTAATAGTCCAGAAAGCGAAGCAGGTATAAGTATAAGTTAAGCTCATGGAACCGACTTCAACTTTTGCCTAGAAATAAAACTACTTACCCTTTTCCTCTTCCTATTTGAGGATAATCATTCAAAAATTAATTTGCTTCCTCATCCAAAGTTAAAATTTTACATCCCTTGTTTCAGACCAAAACCCCAACTTCTTTTAATAAACTTCCACAATTATTGTTTTGAATAAAAAATTTGAACCCACAGAATGCCTGTTGATTCTACAATAATTCGTAAAATGCCCCAAATTCATATGTCACACGCAAAATAAAATCAAGTTATGTTGAGTCTCGTGTGACCAAAAACCAAAGGTTACTGAAATTTAATGATAAGAATTTTTACTTCAAAGCATTATGTCTCGAAGAAACGTATTTACTCCAAATTTCTTGAACCGAAGTCATGAGTTTCGCGATTAAAGCTCAGCAGATGGACTATTTAATTACGTCTGTAGATGCTTCAGTATTTGTAATTTACTTAATGGTCTGTCAACGTTATCAAGAGTCTAATAGCACTAATAGCAAAATCTATTTAGCATTGAGATAAATCCTTTCAAAAAAGATAGTCCACAACCCACATTACATTGAGCATCCCCAAAAATCGATTGCACACATACCGGCATAGACGAAAATAAAAAAGATGAAACGTAAAGGGCGACAAACGAGAACAATGAAAGTAGTATGAGACATGACGAGACAAATAGATTACAAACGAGATGATGAAAAAAAAAGAATGTTCTTCTTCTATGCATACACATCGCGCAATTTTAAGATTGATGACCCCAGAGCACGATTAGTGTCTTATCGCTACATTTTAAAAATACAGTATTGATTTCTCTCGACAACATTCTTTTTTTTCTCAGTTTTTTTGATGGTCAGCATTTTTTTCGTCTACCAAAAAAGATTAAATTAAATTCTCAGGAAATCTTCTTCCTAGTTTTTGAACCGAGTGAAATATAATGCTCAGCCGCACAAATTACTTCAAATGCTTCATTATCATGTCGGCAGTAATTAAAGAGAAAATCGAGATGAGAATTAATTTATTTAAATTAATTCAATTTGTAGTTTGAAAAAAGAGAACTTTAAGTTTGTAGATTTAAAAATACATTTTTATAGCATTAAGGTGTATCTTGAGGACTCTCGTCCTATCCTAGACATATCCTAGTCCTATCCTAGACCTATAATAGTCTTATAATAGTCCTATCTTAGTCCTATCCTAGTCTTATCCTAGTCCTATCCTAGTCCTATCCTATTCCAAACAGAAACCAGCCAAAAGCGCGTAGAACCTTCAGTTCAAATCAGATTCGTGCTCAAAACGTTATCAAGAAGAAATAACAAAGCGAACACAAGAGTTTTGTGACAAAACCACAAGAAATTAAATTTTTCTCTAGATTAAAGATTAAAATGATTATATAGATTTTAAGATAATTCCAAAGCGCTGGAATTGAGATTTAATCTGTTGCACAAACATTCAAAATCATAAAAGCTAAGAAGAACTTGTATTGGCGCCGACACTAATGTTTTTAAATATCAAGAATTCTGGCAATAAAATGGCATTTATGTCTATCAACAAGAAGTCACTAATATTTTTTTAAAATAATTATTTTTTTTTTTAAAGTCACAAGCGAAAAGTATTTTGAGTTACAGATTTAAATTAAAAAGAGTCGCGTGATGAAAATAGGAATCTGATTTAAAGCGTGAATAAAGACGAAAGAATCAAGATTCAGACCTTTTAGCTCTCTTAAAGTTGGTCATCACTTATAAACAGTCTCTACAGTTGATTACTAAATCTTTAACCAGTTTCAAGGCAAAACGAGGATGATCAGGAAACTTGGTAATCTAAGGATTGGACTTAAGGGGTGCTAAACTAAGAAACAAGCAAGAAATAATCATTAAAGGACCAGCATAAGTTGATGATTTCCTATTTTTATAAGATAACATTTCAAAGACATCGTATGAAATTAAAAAATCGGAATCAGCTGAATAATTCCAGTCGCGTGATTTTTTTATTATTTTCTCTTTCTGCTGGCACAACTACAAACTTATCATGAATTTATCATTAAAAATTATCTCTTATTTCGTTTCAAATTCATCACGTGAGTGGATTTTCTCACTTCTTTCAACGACGACAAACTCAACTGAACCTTTCGACGCAAAACAACACAAAAACTCGAGTTGATTTTTGAAGAAATAAAATTATCATAAAATATGCAGAGGGATGCTTTGAGTGCTTTACAATTTCCTGTGCTGTATTCATACAAACACGTTTCATGCATTTATCTTGTTTTATGATGATAAGGCACGACTGATAATCTATTTTTCCATAGAATCGCTTATCATATAAAAAAATTGCATCATTTTTTGATAAGATAAGGAAATGCGTGAAGACATAATGAAAGGTTAAAGCTAATTTGAGTTTGTTTTTGAACTTAATTTATTGTAGCTATGTCCTCAAGATGAACTAGTCTTTTGGAACCATGAAATTTGACTTTTATCTTAATTAAGTTGATTAAAATTCAAGAACAGCTAGAAATTGGAGCTGAAGATGGTTACAATTTTAACTTGATGACGAGACCAGATTCGCATGGATACTGTACTGATGACTACTCCTATCTGGGACACCCTTGTATTTGCTACTGAGCGAGTAGCACTATAGACCGACCCAAGCAATTATCCAGCGTCAGAACATCGACAATGTCTACCTTAAAATTGTCAATTCATGAAAATCACCTAAAGAATTCAAAATTATTCATCAGAAACGAGATCAAGATTTGGATTTTCATAAAATTTCAATATTCTCTTATTTAAATTTCATCAAATGTCATTTGAAAGAAATCGAATGGAAATGTAAGCCATATGAATGAAATTTGATGATACATTGTATTGACTTAAAGTTGATCAAAAAATTCACATGAATTTTATTGTGATAAAAACGTGATAAAATTGATGAAATAAAAAAAATTTCAATCAAGTCTTTCTAGAATGTCACATTGCTTAAGGTGTAAGAACATGTTGATTGAAATGTGGACAGGGCCGTTCAATTATGACGTACGAAATTAACGGTCATTTTTCAAAAAAAAAACAATGGATTTCCAGGAATTTCTATTGTTCTTTTCTTGCTGAACCCCCCCCCCCCCCCCTGGACGTCATAAGTGAACAGCCCAACATCACAAATGGTCATTGAGATTGCTTTGTTGTCTGGATTGATATTAAATATCTAGGGATATTCTAGAAAAGCACATTTTATGCAATTTATGTTACAGGTGCTGATAGATGAGGTAATTGACTATTGGGCTTATATGAACTTCAATTTTAACACATGCATATCTAGATTCTTTTAGTGAATACCTATTCTTCATTTTTTCAAATTTTATGATGTGTCAGAATAAAGCCAGGGTTCAAAAATAATCACGTAATCTTGTTCTAGGTTTCCTCTAGCCTTCTATAGTTCAAAAATTAATGAACTAATCCTTTTAACTAATTTTGTTGATAATATATCAGCTGTAGTTTAATATTTAAATTGTATTTGCAACTTTATATAGTTGTTTTCCTTTTGCATAGTTGTTAGCCCCTTCATATTTAATAAATAGCCTGTTTTTGAACTCCGAAGAATCTGTCTTAAATTGAATTCATAAGAAGTCTTTAATTAAACTTATCAATAAATATACATTCTGATTTCCAACCATACTAATTAATTATTCAGTTCAAAATTTTGTTCACCACAAATACAGACGTAGGCTTGTTAAAGAACATGTTATCACCTAGTTAAAGGAAACAAATAATTTCATCCACCCACGATTAAATCAAATGTGCGTCATCTCTTATCACAGGATACTGTTTCCTGGATACATTTAAAATATGAATGTAAATAAAGCTTTAAATGTTTATTGGAGAAAATGTCAAGGTTGATGGAAACGTACAATGTTGCGGTGGGAGACGAAATTGTAATATTAAATGTAGACGATTTTAATGTTGTAAAAAGCAGTTTTAGAAATGCTGTAGTTGGTTGTTATGTGATTAAGAGATCCTAAATCACTTAATGGATGGAAGCAGGACCAAATCAAGCATAAATTTTCAATGTTTAAGATTAGATCCGTTCGTAATCTAAATTTGAAAACTCATTAGAGAATTTTGAACTACAAATAGCTTCCAATTAAGTTTACAGGCAGTTCATTCATTCATTAAATTTCCTCTCAACTTCCTACACCGCAGAAAGTTACTATTTATAACATCATTGTAAAAAAGCAATAATATAAAGTATCTTTAGACTTAGTAGAGGCGTTAAATTTGTAAAAGAAAACGTCTTCA